CTATTTGAAGAAAGCATCGAAGCAATTTTATTCATGTTACTGGGACTATTTCTTGTATTTCTCCTTCTGTGAAGCCAGAAGCCTTAGTTAAGTCTTGAATCTACCTGTCCAGGGCTCTGAAGAACAAGGAGAAGCAGAACCATGGAGGGCGGGACCTGATGATCTGTAAGGTCCCTTCCAGCCCCTGACATCTATGAACCTAAAACAGCTCCGGCATTACAAAATAAGGATGAGTTTATGAGCGGATATCTTAAGAAGCAACTGCTGGGTCTCATTGGCAGGGTGGGAAATGGCAATCACCCTGGCAGCATCAGTGTGTGCCCTCCTGGTAGCATAAATGTCCCTTTATTCAGGTTTGCAAGATCTTGGACTCTACCCTCTTCTGTATATCAAAGCTTTTATCGTTTCAGGGCCCCTTTTTGGCCACCAGGCTTGGGGGTAGGGTCATTTGGGTGAACACTGGAAGAAATGATTCTTTGGTGGGTTACATCAATGCCTGAATCTACTGGAAGGGCTGGGATTCATTGGGGAGGTCTCGTCTAGTAGTGAGCACACACAGCCTTCACAGGCTCAACCCGAGCTGCATGGAAATCACACAGCAAACTTTTTTACCAAACGCTCGTGCAGCTTATATCACCACCACATATACCCCTGTGATGAATCAGAGAGGCACGCGCTCGACTGCATTCATTTACCATGTACCCTGCACCATCTAACCTGCCTTCTGCCTGCTGCTCTCAGGGGTCTGCTCACGCCTCGGTCCTGCGGACAAATACGGTCACTTGCTATTTTTTCTTTTTAATTCACGTTTCAGAGAAATGCTTCCTCATTCCCCTCACACAATTATAACGACAGAGGCAATATCCAGCCTGCACTGGTAAAAAGCAGCAAGCTAGAAATAGGAGATTTAGAAGAGCTGCCCCTTTCCACTGCGACTCGGACAGAGCATGAGCTCGCAGACCTTGTAATCATGGTGTTATTCTGACCAGGAAAACATATTTCAGGCATTTTAACAGATCTTTAGGAAATTTCTAAAATGAAAACTTTTTTGGTTAAAGAAAATGGTATGTTTTTGAAATGGGAAACTTTCCCTTTCCCCCTCTCTTTATTTCCCCCTGCCTGGAAAACTGGAAAAATTAAAAAAAAGGCTTTTTATTATATTGCTTTCTTTTCTCTAGTCTCCTCTGCCCTCTGCTGTTTTTATTTTTTCAGTAGCAAAGGGAGAAAACTAAAAATAAAAGCAGGGTCAGAAAACTGTAAAAAAGACATATTTTTCAACCTAATATTTTAAATGGAAGTTCAGATAAATGAAAAATATTCTGTTTTGGAACCCTGCAGCAGTCAAAACTACTTTGAAACATTTGAAAGTTTTTCATGCAAAAGTATTTATCATTTTTGATTAGCTCTAAATTGTAGGTCTTTCTAAAATACAGGAGTTAAGATACCTTTTGGGCCCAGCCAGTCAGCTCCATGATGCTAAAATGGTCTGGCTTTATAAAAGAAAGGCTATGAAGAGTGAGAGGGACATAGGGAGAGGTGTCCAAAGTACTCGGAGTATTGGGCACGTGTCATAATTGAGCCATTCCCAAATGTCACTGATGTTGAGGTGGGACTTCAACATGAAAAACACTAGGTAAGAGTTGGGTATTGATGTCGACGACTTTTTTAAAAAACTTTTGGAAAGTAGGTCTCCCCACCCCAGGCCCCAGAAGAAATCGAATGGAAACACAAGAAGTTACCGTGTGACGGGGAGTAAAAATTGTACTAGCATGTCTTTGGGATGGCCTGCTCTCAACTCGCACGGGACAGCTTCTTCATTTGTGAGTGATGCAGTGATTCTTAAATCAGGTTAATGAACTGATATGTGATACCTGACATCCTGCCATTATCCATCCTTTATATGCCGATGCACAGAGGGTCCACTATGCAGACTTTATGGATGCATCTCTTGAGCTACCCTCATCTGAGGTGTGTCTTCAGCTGGTGCAAATTGTCCCGCTTCATTGAAATCAGTGATAACTTGTGGCAGTGGGCGCCACAGGTTACTTAGAGCTGGGCCACATAGAGAAACTCAAGTGTGGGAAGGGACTCCTCTATAATCATAGAGGAGTGGGGCTGGAAGGGACCTTGGAAGTCATCTAGCCCAGCCCCTGCCTGGGCCTGATCATCCCAATCCAAACCATCCCATACAAATCCATTGTCTACCCTCTCAACAAAACCACTGTCAACCCAGGTGCAACACAAGACATAGCACCCTAACCTGACACAGGTAAAGCAGGGGGACCACAACAGCCAACATCCTCCCATTTTCAAATTAATCTATAATGGAAAATTCCAAAAAAAAATCATTTCAGGGTTGAAGGCAACATTTCCTTTGGATTTTGTTAAAATTCTCACAATGAGATACAACCTACAGGATAATGACCAATGGAAATGATCGGTCATTTCATGGCAAAAAAAATCAAAATGTCTTGTTCCCAAACCGTCAAAGCAGGATCTCTTTACACTGTCAGAACCATTTACACCATTTATAACCATTTTTTCTCAACGTGGAATTTTAGCAAAACCGGCGTGCTTTTGCAAAGCATTTTGTTTTCTCCCGAATCTGCATTTTCTCATGGCAAATGGCTTCCTTGACGGTTTTATGACTGGCTCTATTAATGATGTATTGCATACAAAGCATGGCCTTTTGAAGGCTTTCCCTCTCCGTTTCACTGACTATCCCCTTGTTTTTGCATACTTGCACATGGTTGCAATGTCCCTTCTTATTTCTCTCTCTCTAAACAATTCCAGCCTTTGCATTTCAAATGCCTACCTAAATTCTGCAAGCCGTTTCCCATGTTTCTGACCTTTGGTGCTTTTGAATGGTGCTGTTGAACACTCAACCTCATGCCCCATTTCACCACACATGTAATTGTATTTCACTGGTGGGTGGAAGCATGGTGGGTGTAAAGCACTTCGGGATCCTCCTTTTACATGAGTCATTGCCATAGCTATTAAACACATGGTAAATGTTGCATTGCATCTAAAAGTCAACCCAACTCTGTCCTCCAAGACAAGGAGAGAAGCAAATGGTCCAGCTGACGAGGATGAGGGGATGCTGGACTGACAGAAAATTAGAGCTGATATTGCAGATGTAGCAAGGGGAGACTGTGGGCCAAATTCCCAGCTGGTGTAAATCCTTATAACTCCATTGACATCAGTGGAGCTCACCAACTGAGGATCTAGCCCTATGAATCTTTGATCCAACCCCCATCATGACCACATGCTGCCTGGTTTCTGCAGAACGGACGGTGGTTCACCAGTGAGCGGTGACACGCTGTCCAGAGTCATTTCTCTGTTACCTGCAGCGCTTGGCAGCCTGTGCCTGCATGCACCTCTCCCGAAAGCATCCAGAAAAAGACCAGGACAGCTGCTTTTTTAGGGAGGCAGCTGAGTTGAATGGTTGGTGCAGGGGACTGGGCGCTAGAAGCCCTATGCTCTATTCTGAGCTCAGGGAGGGAGTTTGGAAGCAAGGCAAGGGGGGCTACATGTAAAATGTAAAACCCATGTGCTCTATTCTTTCCCTTGAATGTCTGGAACATATGTTTTCTCTTTCTCAGACCACCAGCTCTTCTTATTCTGTCCCAGGAGAGGGTTGCCAACAGACTCAACTGCATCAAGGTTACTTCCGTGCAGAAAACGATACAAAACCCCAGGCCCCACTATCTCTCAATTTGTACCCAGACCGGTATAGGGACTCCCCAGATGGGCCCTCCTCTAACAAGCAACCCCCTTTGGCTTCAGCCAGCCCTGAACTGGGAGGTTCAAGCCAGTCTCTAGCTATCTGGGAATCGACCGTGACATCTCCAGCAAGGATCTGGGCTTTGCTAAAGGGTGCAGAGACACAGATTGCTACGGTGATGATCTCAGGATAGGTAGATCATCGAGGGACAGATTGACCAGCTGATTGAGCCCTCTCAGAAAGGGTGTGATAATGACTCTGACACTGGATGGCAGGGGCATAAAGTGTGACCTCTCCAAGGGTGTGGGCTGAGCAAACGTTCCTGGCTTACAGACGAAGAACAGAAGAAGGTCACATACCTGTGGAGAGAGGCCGTTGCTGACAGGGTTCATGTGATTGGCAGGAGCCGCAGCATTCATGAAGCTGTCCGAGTAGCTGGAGAAGCTGTGTCGAGCCCCGTAGGCAGAACTGGTGTCAGCCGCAGCAGCAGCTGCAAGTCCTCCCTGGTGCATGGTGGACGGTGGCAGGGGCTGGGGTCTGTGCACGGTGCTGCCCCCATCTGCAAAGAAACCGCCCAGAGCTAAGTATTCCTGAGGTCCAGCATTTACATGACTGGTATCTTGTGGCTTCATCCAGACCATTCGGTTTGGATTCAACAGAATTTAAAACCAAGCAAAGAGGGGGTTTGTTCCTTCTGCTACCACCTCTAAGGCAGTGTCCTACCCACCAGACTAAATGGGACTGGATGCAGAGAAGACTCTTCAATCTGTGGGTCTGGACAGTCCCCTGGGAGGCAGCACCCCAGTGTCCACCCCAGCTCCAGTGAACTGTCGTTTCTGCATCGTTTTTTGTAAAGTGGACCAGCATCAACAGGAGAGGATGATAGCATCCTGTGCCATGGGTTTTGGGTGAGTGCTCTACCCCCATTGCTACAGGTTAAAAAGGGGCATCATCAATTGAGCCCATCACACTTTTTTTCCAACCAAAAAAGTTCCAACCAATTTTTTTTTCCAACCAAAAAGTATCCGGCAATTCCAGTTTGAATTTCCAAACAGTTTTGGGATGGCCATATCCACATTTTTCAGTGAACTGTTATTCTCTGAATGGTAGTGTTTGAGTGATGTGGTAACCATGATAGCCCAGTAATTATGCAAGAAGCAAGAGAAGGTGATATCTTTTATTGGACCGACTGCATATTTGGGTATAGCGTTACAAGGAACTTGATGAAGAATGCCTTGCATTCAAAAGCTTGTCTAACATTATCTCAGCTATGCCATTGGTCCAATAAAAGTTATCGGCCTAAGACATCCTTGCCTTGCAATATTCTCTGACTAAAATTCTCCCACCTCAAGAGACAATGCACCATCTTTGTCTCACCGGGCACTGCGGACCAGCCCAGGGGAGGCCACCCCATCAGCTGCAGAGAGGATGAGAGTGAGGAGAATCGGGAGATGGCACTGACCTGAAAGGCCTTTCTGTATAGTTTCCTCTGTTCCTTAGTCTTCCTTTGTTCCTCAGTTTTCCCCAAGTGATGAGGGAAAGCAATCAACATGGGACAGTGAGGAATGGGTAACCTGGCCAGGATCATGCATGCACCTCCCCTGGTGCATCTCAATCCTACCGCTCTGATCTTGGGACTGTCACAGCTCAACCAATATGCTGCAGCCCTGGCCGGTAGCACCTGCTGACATGCCAGCATTGCTCTCTGCTGTGTCCATGCATTTCAGCTGTGACCCGAAACCCCTGCACTCTTGTCCTTAGCTCCCCTCTGACCTCTATCAGTGAACCTCGTTCTTGACCTGAAGGGCCCGGGCATATTCAGGCCTGGATCTTGCATGAACACAGTCTGAAAACCTGTCTGTCAATGTTGCGGACAGTGCAAAGCACCATACCGGGGTCTGATGTGAAACCAGTAATTCGCTCCTGCCAGATATCAGGAGCTAGCATCTGTCTCCTGACTTCAGGAGCTGTCTCCCCCTCGCAATACCAGCCTCTTTTCTGCCAGCTGGGTTGCCATCAGTGGGCAAGGTTTTTTTTCCATTTGGACTCCTTTAGTCTCCCTGTTTCAGACATATTGTCACTTCAAATTGCACTGGCCCTCACATTCTTCTCCCTTCTAATTTTTCTCCAACAACACTGCTTCAGTACATGCAGCTTGATGGTGAAGGCAGAGGGAAAGCAGCCAGGTTTTCACATGTGAGGGCAGTTCAGTTTATACAGAGGTGCGTGGGGAATACAAAGCTGAGATAAGGCCAAATGACTCATTGACCTGAGGTCCCTACTGCATGTCTCTGCAGTTTCCCCCAGCAGAAGCTGTGGATGTCCTTGCCAGGGCCTGGTCCATCGGTGTCAACAAGAACCTTCCCATTGACTCCAATGGTTTTTGATTTAAGTCCTGTCCCTGAGGACATCCCCCAACGTGCCCTCTCTCAACAAATCCAGGTCTAATGGCAAACTCAAGGACTGGGGCAAACCAGTTTGAAATAGAACCAGTTTCTAAGCAGGCAGGTTGGCTGGGAGCTGCTGTTGAGTTGCCAGTCTGCTGGTGTGTAAAGATGAGCTGGTCTGCCTGCTTGCTTAAACCACATTGCAACCTACTTTCATGCCAGTGATTGCTGTTGTTGCAAAAATCTTTACACCGGTTAGAGCCAATTGCAAGGGGCTTTTCATAAGGGTTTTTTAAGGTGAAAAATATAGCTGAGATGTTTGCACATTCCCCTGCCTGGTTGCATTTCACTCCCTGTGCTTTGAAGGTCACTCTTTGACTCCACCTTGAACGATGCCCTGTCCTACTCTCCATTAAATGGAAGAGACACAGTTATACACTCATATATTCATAGACATCAGGGCTGGAAGGGACCTTGCAAGATCATCGGGTCCAGCCCCCTGCCCAAAGGGCAGGAAGTCAGCTGGGGTCCGACCACCCCAGCAAGATAAGCATCCAAGCATTTGTTAAATTTATCCAGAGTAGGTGCTTGCACCATTTGGGGGGGGGGGGGGGTCTATTCCAGACTCTGGAGTTATGGGACACTGTGATGCAGGGGTAGGCACCATTGGAGTGGGGGCAGACCAGTTTGACCTGGTAGACCCTCAGTAACTTGAACTCTGGATATCAGCCTCCTCTTCCATCCCTGGCCTCCCGACAGACGGTAAATTTGCATATAGCGGCCGCTTCAGCGGAGTTAAATTGATGCTCACCTTGGGAAATGGTGGTGGTTGGGTAGGTGGAGTCCGGCAGCTGGTAGGGTGGCAGAGTCGGCATCCCAGTTGGTGGAAAGCCCCCGGGCAACAGGTGGTTAAAAGCTGCCAGCTGATTGGCTCCTGCCTGCTTGCGCCACCTGGCTCTTCGGTTACTGAACCACACCTGGGACGAAGAAAAGGTGAGTTATGGTGAGGTGCATCCCTATGCAGATCAATACCGCTGATCAAAATTGCAGTGGGATGACCCACAAAGGATGCCGGGAGGAGTACAAAGAGAAAGAAGAGCGCCCATTGCTTGGGCTAAGACTTGGTTCAAACTCCTGCTCTGCCACAGCTTCCGTGCGTGACCTTGGGGGAAGCAGTTATCTTCCCCATGCCTCAGTGTCCTGCTTCGCACAGGGGAGATCGTAGCCGTGCCCTATCTCGTGAGGATGAAGCGATCAAACAGACGTGCTGCTAACCATCCTGCCTAGTTATTTGACAACTATGCGAATCATGCTGGAGGATTAAGTACTGTAATAGCAACATGGCTGTGCCATTCGAGAAGATAAATAGGTAGATTATAGCATCGTGGCTTCTGTGTTAGACAAGCTAAATAGATAGCACTGGACCGGAGGGAATACGCATGTCTCCTCACTTCTCTGTGCCGCGATGCTGTTTGTGGTCTAGCACATGGCGTCTTTACAATAAACGCCGCAGCCAGGGATAGCACCATGCTGCGGCCTGTCTAAACAACAGTGCCTTCGAATAAACCTGTGCAACACTGGGTTCTCACTGCCCAGGTGAGAGGCTCAAGACAGATTCCCCAAATCCGTATATCTGCCCCAGTGGGTCTTATCACTGGCCATCTCCCTCTTGGACAGTGGGAAGGGCAGCTTGAGCTGTCTCTAGGATTTGCTTTATTTTATTCAGTCGGAGAAGCTCTCAGGGCCCATCCCAGTTTGGGGTTGAGAAGTATGCGGATAAGCTTTCAAGCCAGATGAGAATGCAGCTGCCGGACTTTGTGAGGCCTAAAGGGCTAGAAAACATGATTAAATTTCACAGTGGCGAGAAAAAAAATGGAGCAAAAATCAAGAGTGAAAGCAGTCGGGGCTGGGGGGTGTGGAATTCCTCCAACCGGCCTTTCTAGTTGCTCAGTGAGACAGTGGCACGGGATCCCCCAATTCTAGCGAGCCGAAGCAAACCACTCCTTCCTGCAGGGAGTGACGACCGGGCACGCTTCCCCCCTCACTCAAGACCCAGTCCAAACTCATTGCCTTCACTTCCATGGGCTTCAGACCAAAAAATGCTACTCAGTCAGTACTTTTTGTTGCTTCTGCACCTGTGGATGTGTTTGAGTCACTTAGGCTGGGAGGGCTACGCATGCTTCTTCAGCTCTCTTTTAATTCATTGCACTGGACTGACTGGGTTGCAGGAGGGGTATGTTGGCTTGGTGAGGCTGTGGTGACTGGGGAGAAGAAGTGAGCAAGGGAGAATTGCTGGTTGCAAGATGAAGCTGCTTGTTTGATGCATCAAGTGAGGTTCTCTGGCCTGTGTTATGCATCAGTGCAGAGGGAGCACCATCGTCTCCATCTATGAAGCTATGAAGGGGACCGTGCAGCCCAGTGGCCTTTAATCAAGAGACAATCAAGACAAAGGCAGGGGACATATTGTCAAAGTCCGTGTCACCTACTCAGATGGATAAGAGCTCATTGCTGTTACCATTTAGTACAGTTAGCTAGCTCATGTGATGTAGCGTGGTTTGCATCCAACCCCTGCTAATGACATCTATGGGGGCTTCCTCTGTATGCACTTCTAATGGCAGCTGCGACAAAGATACTGGACCGGATCCTCTGCAGACTTATACCCCAGTTACACCAGTGCAAAGTGCCTCCAAAATAGAAATGTCTTGCGCTTCTGGAGCATCTTTCAGCTGAGTACCTCAAAGCACTTTCCAAAGAATTAAGCTGCAAAATTAGAGCTCAATGAGAAAGTGTCACCAATTATCCTGGGCTGGTTAATGCACTATAATTATTTTGGTGTAACTCTCTGTGTGGTTGCTTGTTCTGGTATAAAAGTCGATTTTTTTTTTCCAGTTTGGCTTAAGCCAAAGATGTAAGCTAAACCGGACTTGTACTTCTACACCAGAATGAGAAGGCTTCCCAGGGGAGTCATTGCAATATGTCTGTATGGTGTAAATTCACACCTTAGCTTATAGAAATATAGCATAGATGTACAGATAAGTCCGAAGTGACTTGTCAAGTTTGAGACTGAGCCTGGGGTTGGGACACTGAACTAGGAGCCTTATAACTTGAATGTTTTGTGTAGCCTCTCAATGAGTTTGGGTAAGTTTTTGCCTCCCCGTGCCCTGCTTCCTGCTTCCATCCTATGTCTGTTTTGTGTCGTCAGAGTGCAAACTCTTCAGGGCATGGGTTGTCTTTGGCTGAAACAGTCCACCGCACAGTGATGTTGACCTCATTTTAGGTCTCTAGGCCTTCTGGCAATACAGATAACAATCTATATTTGGTCTCTTATCCAAAGAACTGAACGTCTCTTTCTCATTGTGGAAAGCACACGCACCAGTTGTGAACTGCTGGCGTGCATTTGATGTTTGAAAATATGCAACACGTTTTTCCACAAATCTCATTCATCTGTGGCCTGTGCTGCTCTCAGCTCTGGTCACATGCTTACAGAAGCCGCGTGCTATTTTTTCTGCTTCTTGACCACATGAGCATGAATCCTTCACTGAAGGTTTTTGGTGGGGACTCTCACAGGTAGTCCAGTCAGTTTTAAATTTGCTTTCTGAGGCTATTTGAACCTGGAAGCTTGCGATTCGTTCTGAATGTGTCATACTAGTGAAATGCAATGGCACAAATGTCCGCGGAAAGCAGAAACAAATGAAGCATGAGCATGGGTGGGGTTCATTCATCGTGAACTGTAGGGAAAGCTGTCGTGCATCCTGTAACGGCCAGTACCAGCGTCAGAGGAGGTGACCGGTCAGTGGGCTGTTGGATGGCTAATACTCCTGCAGTGTAAAGTCCTTCCTAACCCTGAATAGTTCTGGATTAGCTTATGCCCTGCTTTATCAAACAGAACCTTTTCTAGTCAAGGTCCCTGTATATTACCATATTTCCTGACATACGACATGCCCCAAATAAAAGATGTGCCCTGTTTTTGGAAGGCAGAATGAAGGAAATTCAGCTCTTCCCTTGAGAGCCCCGGGAGAAAGAAAAGGCCTTCACAGCCAGCAGCTAGAGAAGCCTGCCTGGAGCATATGCAGTTTTACTTTTGCTTTCACCTGGGAGAGGCCTGAATGGTAGAAACTGCTGCTACTGTATTTTCTTGATTATAATGCAGGCCCCAATTTCCAGCAGCTGAATTTTGGAAAAAAGGTACATTGTATTATTATTGTCATTATTATTGGTGGCCATCCCTAAGCATTGTCAGCAATGTCAAAGAAAGCCCTGAGGGCCAAGTGTGCACCAGGGTGCATAACGCTTCATAAGCTCTTTGAGGCAGGGACAGTATTTTTGTTCTGTGTTGATATAGTGCCCAGCATCACTGGGTCCTGGTCCGTGACTTGGGCTCCAGACACAATAGCACAAACTAACAAATAGCCATAATATTATGTTAACATTTGGCTTCCTGTTGGGTTGTATTAAATGGATGCACCTGTCATTTTCTCCTGTTATGCTCCACACGCACGTTCACACATGTGCACACAATACCCATGGGCATTTGTGCTTATAGGGCACGTTTCTTTTAGCATCACTTGCTCCTTCTGCAAAAGAGTTGAAAACAGCCCAAGAAGATTGTGCATGGTCTGATTAACAGCGCTGAGCGACGGGGGCAGGAATGACCCTTCTCCATGAAAAGAAAAACACCAGATCTCCATCTTGAAGAGCTCTCGTTCAAATGATCCCGGTGGAAAGAAGAAGATGAAAAAGATTTAGGAGGGAAATCTTCTCTTGGTAAAAATGAAATCAAGTGATCACAAATCCCTAAGTCAGATGAGAAGGAGACTTTGAACTCCAAGGAAGCAAAAGCTGCCTCCTTGAATTCTGACACTTCCCTGAAGTTGGACAGGGTGGGAAAGCGCCTTTTATAACCAAGAGCCAGATGCTGGCAAATCCACTCTGGATTAGGAGTTTTAAGAGAAACATGTGCAGCGGGACGGGCTAAGACAGGACAGGTTTTTCCAGCAACCTACCCACGACGGGTCCTGTCCCCCCTTGGGTGATTTTGTCAGTCGGGCTGGCTAACGTGTGATCAGAATGCAATTTCGGAGAGATTTACATTGTATTATGTTACATCACGTGGGGTTCCTGTGCCCCCCCCACACATCTTGTAAGAAGGCTCCAAGTGAAAGTGCAAGGCAGCGTTGGCAAGTGAGGCAGAACTGGCTTACAATTGTGCAAACACTGTGAGGATTTGGGTTTCTGTTTCAAGACCCCCACTTAAGACTCTGAAGGCCGTATACCCCTTA